AATACTCTTGATTTTCAATAATGACGTTTATTAAACTTTTAACAATTAACAACAAATAACGATTAACCACGATTAACGATTAACAACGGTTAACGATTAGCAACGATTAATAACAAACAACGATTAACACTGAATTATCAAGAGTCAATAACCGTTTCTCTAATTGCGTTTGACCCTCGATATCCCCATTACGCGCGCGTTTATTAGAAGTCCGCGACGGTTGCCGCGTATGCATTCTTCCGAATATTCGGCGAAAGAACCGTAGGGATATCGATGGTACATTAGGCCTGTCGGCCTTACGCTTTGAAGGTATAGCGCTTTGTGTCCGTGGTCGAGTGCCGCCACATATGTTCCTATCTTCTGTAATGAATATGTAAAATTCAGCTGGTTTTTACCTGATGATTAAATTTGTTATATCGGTAAAATATAGACGAATAGAGAAAAGAAACTATGTATTTGTAGCGGCACGCGAGGTCAATTCAAATCATGTTGTTGTTTTGCCTCGAAGTATCAAGATCGTTAGAATACACGTAATGTTAGATTAAATAAACTCTGAGCAAAATAATGTCGCCGCCACGTGCAATCGTCGAACAAAGACGAATTTGAATTTTCCGACTCTCCCCCGAGCAGTATAAATAAGTGGACACGATCGTAAGGAAATGAGTTACAGTCAGTTTTCGATCAGTTATCAACCAGTTATCAACGAATTATCAGCGATCTAATTAACGAGTCATTAGCGATCCTATTTTACGACTTATACGCTGCCTTAGCGAATCGGTTAGTACGAGCGTCATTGCAAGTATTATCTGTATACTAATTTATCATTTTAAATATATTCGACGGTTTCAACAACGAGCGATCTCGTCCATTAAACCTCACCGACCAACCGCCCTCTACACATAAACCTCTACATATTTAGCAAAACTTTAGGTTAAAACTGTTAACGTCCATGTAAAATCGATTGGATGAGTATAAAAAATATTTTTTCAATAAGTTGATTAAAATAATCGTATCACGCAAGCGACTATCGCGTTGCCTGGAATATGGATCACATTTTTCTATTATTCAACTTATCGTCCCATTTCCTTTCGTTCTTAAATTTTTCATTTCGTCCTCTGATTCTTCCGTTGTTTGTACGGAACATAAGCGATCGTCACCGCAGTTCACCCTTTCATTTACCTCTTTTCGATATTTTAATATTCGTGACGAGAGATCAATTCCCATCCACCTAGCCTCACCGTTTCCACAGACCTACCACTTTTGTGAAATATTCATGATGCTTTCGCGCATTTCGCAGAAACTCGAGAAAGAAAACACGGTCGTTCGTATAAATTGGAAAAACTGATAAAGAACGTAGAAACGAGGCGATCAAAAACAGAAAATACTATTAAGTAGTATTTGCTTTGTAGCCTATGAAAATCATGCTTTTGATATGTAATCGGTTTTTTTAGAGAGCTGGGAAGCCATCAGCTAACAAGCAACGATTGCACGAAATGTTTCCAATGGAAAAGAACTCTATGGTATTTTGTGAGAAATATAATAATGAGAAATGAATTTGTTAATGAAAAATACCCTTTAGCAAGTGCAGAACGCTGCATCTACTTAAATGCGATAATTTATAAACCAATTAGTGTGTATAGTACACTTTGTTCAAGAAATTCGTAGAATGCCATCAGCAAACTGTGAGCCAATGTTAGTAACAAGTTCTCGCATTGATAAATTATTTTTTAACATTAAACTTTCTAAACGACCGATACTAAGCTCTTCGGTGATTATCCGGACAGTGAATCACTGATTTGATAACACAAGTTCATGAACACGTTCAAAGCTTTCATTTGCGACGTGAAAGGTCGACCTCCGCGAGTATCATCTTCCACATTTTCTCTTCCTTCTTCTTACTCGCCATCCATTTGTAAATGGTTGTTGGCTTCACAGCATTCTCTTCATACGCTTCTTTTAGCATATCACTTCAATTTCGTGGTACTTTTTAGAAAGATCAAGAAGTCATTTCCAAGTCGTGAGAGGGCCGAAAAAAACATAGACACGCTAAATACTTAAAGAAGTTGCCGTAAACGAACATAAGGCTTACTTGAAAGAACTTTTTGAATAGGGCAGTACATGGAATAAAATATAGCGCAACAAGGAGCGTAACAAACGTCTTACAACGTTATTTCAATTTTTGTCAAATAAACGATTATTGCAGCTTATTGTAATTTCTGCACGTTATTCTGCTGTAATTATGGAACTGCATACGTTTATTACTTTATCAAATATTCTTCTAGACTATTATATCATAATATCAATTTCCTAACTCTCTTTTTAAAATAAGTATTTTCGTCTCCTTGATGATCTCTTTATATATTTTAGTAAAACTGAGAATTTCCTCCTCCATTGAGAAATGGTTTTAATTTTCTAACTCTAATATACGTATATTATCAAATTTCGATAGAATTTTAAGTTAACTGCAACCGATTAATAATACGAACTGCTAATCTTAATTAACCTTGTCAGAAAGAATTTATTAGAACCAAATCTCTTCGCCAATAATCAAATATCCTGATAAATTCCACAAATTCCATAACATCTCCAATTATATAATAATGACCACTTACAGAATATCGTAATAATCGAAAGTTATTTTTCGCCGTAGGGAGAATGAGATACGATAATCACCGGAATGTTGGTCGTTAATTAACGAGAAATTAACAGCGCCGGAAGGCAGTAGCTAGAAAAGCGAACTTTACGTCACGCCCCGACGATATATTAATTCAGCAACGGGCAAAGATTCTCTTGAACTACGGTAAGACTGCAGGTACCTACTCTCGAAGCTCTTTCGGATGTTAAACACGCCGGATACCATTCCTCGGTTCTTCCAGGGTCGCCACAGTCCCACCAGCGTTCATAACTCATACCACACGACCCGGTTAGCCTAAGAGCTAGGAAAGCACATGCATCATATTGTTACATTATAGAAACGGGTCGCGTTTCTACCGCACGTACGATAGAATCTAAATCCAGAACTTAGCACTGTCACACTCCGGCAATTTCATTTTTCTAATCGTATCCGCCTTATCGCCGCAACAATGTCCCTCTGGCTTCGGCCACGTTTCCCAAAATTTATGTACACGATAGTAGATTTTGAGATAACCGCGGGCTATAATCAATATCACGGTATCGTTGCTGGCAGTTTATTCGCTTCAACTTTAAACTGTATCAATCCGTGAGGCAAAAGTAAATGAAATATAGAGAGCAAATTACAAGAAGCGAAGAGCAAAGTATAAGATTGAATTTTAAATGATACAACGCGACTAAAATTCTTCTTCTTTGCTTATTCATGTAATACAGAGCGAACTTGTTTCTTGATTGAATTAAATTCATCAGCCTGAGCATTTTGAAATCACAGATTAAACATTAATAACGACAAATCAATTACGAGTTAACTCTATTCCAACTATCTGTTTTCCGTTAATTCTATTCCGACTCTGTTTTGAATATTTATGACCAGATTTGTATATAAGTTTCTACTTTCAGAGTAATAGATTGTACTGTTAACATGACTTCTTATATGTATCGTATATATTTAAAAAACTGATCAAAAATACAATAAACGTACACGAAGTACGAGCTGATTTTATTCCTCGTAGTATATATTATTCTATATCTATGCCACTTAAATTTGTTATTCATTTTTAACTCGTACGCACTTAATTTACATTAAATATCAATCTACTATTTTTCTTCTAAAATAAATCGATCGTGTATATATATATTTCAACAGAAAATTTCAGAGGGTGTTCAGTAGAAGAAATACTATTGCATAATAAGCTAGAGAAACAAGCGATTACATATCTAACTTCAATTGAATTTTTTAAAAATGAATTCTCGTTGGGAAATATGGGAAAGACAATCGCAACGAAGTAGACGGGGAAAATGCGTTTAAACGGAGCGAAATGTCCTTCTCAGCAAATGGTCCATTAAAACGACAAGTGGGGAGGTATATTGGGATTGAGTGATATTAAGAGAACGAAAAGAAGAGTGAGTATGGAATGGAGAGAAAATTTGTATTAGGAGGCAGAGACTGAGACTCTCCCAGGAGAAAGCGGAAAGTAAAGAGAAAAGGGGCAGAATAGATTTATTATGCTATGGGACAGAGCACCTGTAAGTAAACGGGAATATTATAAAAGAATATTATAATCGAACACGAAAACGTTGAAATAATTTCAACTTCTAATGAAATTTACATAATGTGAAATATTTTCATCGAACAAAATCGACGTTCAAGTAATTTCGATTTGTACTGAAATTTATATAATAAGAAATACATAAGATCGAAACCGTAAGTAACCAATTACAAATTAAGAATGCAATATTTTAATAGATACCTGTATTAGTAATTTCGTCTATAGTATTCAAAGCTACAGGTAACACACACGCATGTTACAGCCATTTAGCTACAAAACCCATTCTCAGATAAAAGAAAATACAAATAAAGAAGGAAAAATAAAAAATGAATATTTAACAATTATCTTCCTATTTTGTGTCACATAAATTAGTAATTTCAATATACTTTATTATTATACGATTGAAAGAAATACATACCAAAGGGTTAATTAAAGTAATAATAATTTTTCTTCTTATACCACGTATAAATCTCTCCAGTAAATATACATTTCTTTATGCCGTGTTGCAAAAAACCGCAAGGTAATTGGTGCGTTTTGAGATCTGGCTATGGGGTGAATGTTACGGTCTATAGCAAAGAAAAACCGATTCATTTGAAATCGCTATCCTGGAGGACATCAAAGGGATTGAGAGCGTACGTTGCGTGTAATGTGAACAGAATCGCAGCTAGGCATTTTGAACACTCAGTGTACAAGGGTAAAGGTCTTTCATACAGGGGACAAGCGAAGCGCAAAACTACTTTTTTCATCATCTTTTATCTGCGCTTATGGAGCGGCACGATCATACAATTTATACGATGGTAGGAATTGTGTTATACCCTGTTTCTCAGTTAATAGTTTATTAAACGTTCTTTTTTATTATAAATTTAAGCTTTTACAGGCACACGCACAATCGCTTTTTATCTGCATTTAATATACAGCGGCTACCAAAGATATTTATACACCATTGTATTTGTTATATATATACACACTATATTTTAGAAAATTTTACTAAATTCTACTAAAGTCAACAAAGAACGAGCATTTGCTTGGTTGGTCTAAATGCGCTATTACAACGTGTAACACTGGATGTTGCAAATTACAAGAAATAATCAAGGAGCTGGTACAAAAATTATGAAACAGGGGCTTAGCTTTCTAGCAGATTAAAAATTATACCTTGTATTACTTTATATTAAACATTTTCAATCTTCCAAAGTGAAACTGCACTTTTACCATAATATCTGCATAGACGAAGGTAAATAAGAGTTGAATGATAATAAAGAAAGTATTAGCCCAAGAAATATAATAAAAACCTAATTAAAATTTTCACAATTAAGCTTTCCATGTAAATGCGATAAAGCAATTAAACACTGAAAATAAGGATTTAATATTTACTACGTTCCGCAGTACGACGTTTGAATGAGCATTCGGGGAAAAAGATCAAAATTCGCTGGCTACGTTCGCACGTTCGCAGACCAGGTACGCGCGTTCGCAGGCCAGGTGCACAGCCAATGTTCTCACCGTGCGGCATTTAAATGAGAATTCGGGACAAGGATAAAAAAATATATATAATCTGCAGTCTTCCTGAAATCTGATACGTTTGTTTTAATATTTTCTCTACTTCCTGGCTCCGTTTAAATATCATTTTCTTTTTTTGTCTAACCATACACGGTGATGTTTAACCAAATAGTGCCAATGCCGGGAACAATCTCTCCATTTTTTCGTAAATATCATGCAGAAACCATTTATCCTGCCTTCCATTTCGTCAGTTTTTGTGCATTTAACGATGAACGGAGTTTTTGTGTAACTTTACACATTTTTGCGGAATAAAAGAGAAATTCGCTCTTCAATCGAATCGCGATTACGACTAGATTTTATTGAAAAAACAAAGAGCATCCATTGTAGCAGTTTATAGTAGAAAAAAATTATACAGCAATGTAACACAATATCTTCCTGACACAGAACAATCAAAATTAAAGGATGATCTTTTTTTAATAACTTTACGTAAATTCTTCTATTAACAAAGATTGAGAAATTGATTAATCAGATAGTATAAGAATTTACATAAAGTTAGATGAACAAAAGAAATAACAATGAATGTACCATATCAAATTAAAATTTTGAAACCGGTGATTTAACCGAGCCTGGCAAGATTATCATATTGTTAAACTGCTCTTTAAAGAAAGAAAGACATTTTTACATCGGAAATTTAAATTATGCATATGTTCGCTCAACTTCTCCATATCTAATTCTCCGTATGTAACACTATTTAACAAGAATTAACAAAGAAGAATATATAATGAACGAATATGCTAAGTCTCAAGTGAATCAGATTTCGATGTACAAACTATCTTTACTAATCCTCTTTTGAAGGGAACTATCATTTACATTTATATTACATATTTACAGACTGATGATTTGATGGAATAATAAAATTGACATCAAACAACAATTATTTCCATCTTCGTCTACCGCATATCGCGCTGTGATATCGTCGCTGTTAACATTGCGTAGAAAGTTTCCGAATTATAGGAACTCTGGAAAAGAGTTTTCCGAGAAGGAAAGAATGTTACATCAGAAAGTGACGCATGGCAGCTTGACGAATCTAGCCTTCTGCGACACGAGTTCGCACACCACTTGGTGGATATTGAATTTTGTTAGAGGAGGATTTCTTCCACAAAGCTAACGCAAGGTGAACCGTGAATCGAGTAACAAGCTAGGCGTCACACGGTTACCGCTTTGACGCTACGCAGAAGCTGTGCCAATACACGCGAACCAGCATAAAGGCGCGAACGCAATCAATGTTGCTGTTTCTCCCTTCCTACCTTTCCTGTTATTCGCCAGTGTTGGGTCCCTTACCGCCATTTTCGAAATCAAAAGTTCCCGACATTGCGTTAAAGCCTGCGACCTTTCAATAGAACGTACAATAGAATATTCTCGGGCTTCGTTGTACGCTCGTTGACAACGCTTTTGTGCTTCGACGTATGTATTAGATTAGCCATCTACGTCGTTATACGCAATGGCAATTGAAAGCACCGCTGCAATAAAGAAATAACTCTACTGTGCGGCGATTTGAGTAAAACCAATTAAAACTCAAGCAGCTTTTCAAACGTACAATAAATTCACGCTTTGTTGCAAACTGTTCGATTTCCGCTTCCTTGTTGCTGCAGACTGTTCAATTTCTCTTGAAAAGGTAGAACAGCGGAATTGTTTACAGCTGTTTATCGCTCGTAACCGAATTTATGAAGATCGGACTAAGATGTCTGGAAATACGTAGCTGAGATTTGGGAATATTTTTTTTCATAAGTAATTACAGAAAGAGAAATGTTGAAATAAGAAATAAGAAAAAAGCGTAAATTATCACTGGAAAAATGACAGACAAATACTAGTCGTAAGACGAAGCTCTGATAGGAAAATGCGTCTTCGTGAACGAATCGAAGCGTTGCGTAAACAGGTCAATATCCTCAACGAGATACGAGGCGAATTAGGTCTCATTGAAAGCTTCGAACGGAGGAGAAATCGAAGCCATACGTTATCGCCAGAGTTGTAACGTTACTCAAACAATTGCAATAATCTATAAGGCATTCTCTACTAGTAAATGTCAAACGATTCATTCGCAATATCCACATCATCGTCCAGGTTGCAGTATGATTTATTAAAAATCAACCTTTAGAAATTCTATGTATATCTCAAGAAATCAATCTGCGATTGAACAGTTTCCTGATTACGAGCATCATTTATTCTTATTTCGGGCTCAACCATATTTAAAAACTATAGATGCAAACAACCGATTTCTAGGTGTAAGCGGATTCCTTATATGCTAAAAATGATACTATACGATTATGTATATATATTAAACGATGATTAGAGAGCAGATTCTTATGCTTTTTATACTTTGTAAAAAATTTGGAAGTGCGAAATTGCACAGAATGTACGTAATCCACAATCAATAATTTTATGAAATATTTTATACTACCGTGTTTATACTTATCAAATGGTTATACATACGAGTATGGAACTATTTAACGGGAAAGTCGATTGTGTTCCATCTATGGCGTATACTGCACAAAACGTGTTACGTACCTGAAACACATAAATATGTCGATGTTATTGACTAAAACTAGTATAGTATTAATATAATAATAATGTAGTAATGTAGTATATTGTAGTATCCTGGACGGATTGCCTGAGAGATATCGGGTGTGCGTTGTCAACGTTGTCATGGACTGTTGACAGCGTATTTTTAAAAGAACTGTTGTAACGAAGTTAGTGACGAATAGTGATTGTGTAAACATAGATTGATGAAACATAAAATGATATTGTAACAATCATATCCTTACCAAACCTACTAGTATACCATTTTCCTACAATAGTATCTGATAAAGTGCTTAAAAAATAATTTATTATATTAACAAATATTAGTAAGATGTATGATACAATATCTTGTATATACAGATGTGTCGGAGTCCATATATTAGTTTTGCTAATAATTGTCTTTTTCTCATGACCATAATTCTTTGTTACTATGCAACAAATTTGCTTTACTGCATACCGAGTTAGGAATGTGAGCGATGTACTAGATTGAGTTATATGTGTATGTACCTACGGTTGGCCATAATAGAATACCAACAAAGTGCACAAAATTCTGTTAGAGGGAACAAAAACAATTAAAAACTACGTAAAAATTCACTGTGATATATATATTGAAAACTCAATAATATTTTCCTCGAATAATATCTGGAAGAATAAACAATACTTCACCAGGATAATACGATAATTGGATAATAAATAATATTTCTTTCGGAAGTATCGGGAAACGGTATAAGTGTTAAAGTACTTTAATAAGATAAGTACGCGAGATAAGTAAATCGTATCAACGATACACAAAATAATACCAGTCGAATAATTACATTCTGAAGACGCACACTATACATATGTAGTTCATAAAAAAAAGAGTTACGATGTTGGAGAAACGAAACACTTTCTCGAAGAGGTCACGGCTTTCGTCTGGAAATTACAACAGTTGCACTCTGCCAGATGATGAAAGCATCAAAATTAATTGAGCGAAACTATTAATTGTAGCGATCAAAAGATAAGAAAGATAAGATTAATCTTCTCAATAAGAGATGTTATCAAATTCGAAGATATTATTTCATTTATTATAGATATATGCATTGTAACGTACTTTAGCATCTTCAAAAAATCTCATAAATGTACAAAATTCACCAGTCTAATTATATGCATCTAAAAGTAAATTAATTTCCAGAACATGCACGCGTAAAAATTCTAAATGTTAGACATCTAACGCGGAATACAAAGAACACTGTTTGAACCGAACCACGTTGCAGAATACAAGAATGTTTGCATAGTAACATTTCAGAACAATGCGTACAAATATTTGAAGAAAAATTATAAAATTCGCGAAGTATCGTTTCTCTAAAAGAAAATACAATAATGCCAGTGAAATCCATGGTTCGTACCCGTGGTTCGTACACAGGAATACACTTGTGCTTACTTGGAAATTCAGAAAAGATTTCCCCTAAATCTGTTCATACTGTTGAAATTTATTGTTTATGTAAACGGAGAAAAGTTACACAAAGAGTAGTTTCAGCAGAGAATATCAGTTTTATCGCCTTCGAAATATTTTAGATGACAACAAATTTGCAACTTGGGAAAGTGAACTTTATGACTATACATTGACGTAAACCCGTGAAGTATCCTACGTTATATGTATTATATAAATAATTAATAATTTGTCACTGTCTCAATTATCATTGATCTGTTCCACTGAACAGAAATTATGTTAAAACGGAATCGAAATATCCGGCTTAACACAACTAACAATTACATAGAATTATTTATCTCTCCGATTTTCATTCTGTCAAGAATGTTACATTAAATTACATTAGAAATTAACAAGACAAAATATCAAGCTTAAGTTATTGAGAAGAACAATCTTCAAATTGATTCCATGCTTTCGTTGAAAATAGACAATACTTTAATTAATCAAAGTTAAAGTAGTAGTACTCGTTCCAATGCACATGCTGTAATCGATAACATGCGCATCATCCATCAAGTATGTTGCATTTGTCACAATGTAATGGATGTCCTACTTTATTACCGAGTAATAAATGATTATACATTCAGACCGCAATCATTTTTATAATGCACATCACACGCGTTTTATCATTTGCAAGGACGTTATTGCATTGATACACTCGTCGCATAAAATAAATTTTATTCCTGATTTTCACAACAATAATATTTTAGAATTCCATTGCATTGCTATTTTAAATAAATTCTACGCAAGTTACATTTCAAAAGTTGAATATTGAATGTATGTTGAATAACTGTACGTAACAAGAAGGATCGGTAAAGTTAGATTTAACAGCATTGAAGCAGTCGGTCAGCAAAATATTTTAGCATAGTATGTCACAACGTATAATACCATCTTCCTTTGACTCTGAGAAATTACTTTGAAAGGTCAGAAAAAATAGCTGCAACACGAGATTATACTCGTCGTAAAGACCGTATAATTTCGATAACGCTGATTAAAAATTGAAATGGCCAATGATAAAATTCCAAGAAAATTTGTTCTCCTTGTAAAGAAAAATTCTCTAAAATTAAATAACTAAACCAATCCAAATCTATTTCATAATATTATGGTCACCCATAATCAAAACACTTGTAACAATACAATAATATTAACAGATCTCAAACGTTAAATGAAGATACTTTTACTACTCAGAAACCTGCCAAGAATACAAAAACTTTCAAGTTGTATAACAAATTGTGGATTTAATAAAGTTAAAATAGCGCGTAAATTTGCATCATGGTGAGCCGCGATGTAAACACATACCATGATACGTACCATC